CCAAACCTATTTGAAATCAAGCCCAGACCTACTTGAAATCATGCCCAAACCTACTTGAAACCATGCCCAAACCTACTTGAAAGCATGCCCAAACCGACTTGAAATCATGCCCAAGCCTACTTGAAAGCATGCCCAAACCTACCTGACTCTTGCGATCCCTCTGCTCTTTTTCCACGCCATTGCTTCAGTTCAGCTCAAGTGCTCTGATTCGCCAGTCCCTTCTGCTTGTGAGTGGAGGGCTTGAAATCTTCGATTCATATCGGGGGTCCAGCCCTTCCAACACACGCCACACACGCTGGCGTCGTCAAAACCCGAGTTTCCGACCCAGAAGCAGCCGAGGTCCCGATGGGCCAATCGGCACGTGTCGGGTTTGTTGATGAAAAGAAGGTGCTCGGTGCCCGGCTCGCGCACACAGGCGCGGCAGAGGTGGACCTCGCCGCCTGGCTCCAATGTGGCTCGGAGCAGCATGGGGCAACCGACCATGAAATTTCTATTGGGTTTCTATGATATTCCTATGGTATTACTATGGTGTTCCTGTGGCATTCCTATGGAACTTCCATGATGTTTCTATGGTATTTCTATGGGATGACTATGTGATTTCTGAAGGGATGCCATGGGAATTCTATGGTATTCGTATGGAATTCCAATTGGGTTCCTGTGGGATTTCTATGGTATTTCCATGGTGTTTCTATAGGATTTTTTGGGGGATTCCTTTGGGATTTATGGGGTTCCATGGTGTTTCTGTGATATTTCTATGGAATTACTATTGGCTTCCTGCGGGAATTCTATGGGATTCTTATGGGATTTCTTTGTGGTTCCTATGCTATTTCCATGTGGGATTTCTATGATCTTTCTATGGGATTTCTGTGGGATTCCTATGGGATTTCCATGATATTTCTATGATATTTCTGCTGGATTCCTATGATATTTCTATGGGATTCCTATGGGATTTAAAAAGGATTTCTATGGTATTTCTATGGTATTTCTAGAAGATTTCTTTGGGAATTCTATGGGATTTCCATGAAGTTTCTTTGGAATTTCTATGGTGGTTCTATGGGATTTCTATTGGATTCCTGTGGGGTTTCCATTGTATTTTTATGATATTTCTTTGGGGCTACTATTGGATTTCTATGGGATGTCGATGGTATTTCTATGGGATTCCTGTGGGGGTTTCAAAAAGGATGTCGATGGGATTTCCGCTGGGTTCCTACGGGATTTCCATGGTGTTTCTATGATATTTCAAGACGATTTCTATGGGATCTCTGAAGGGATGCTATGGGAATTCTGTGGTATTCTTATAGGATTTCTATTGGACTCCTATAGGATTTCTATGGTATTTCCATGATGTTTCTATGATTTCTTTGGGATTTCTTTGGGATTACTTTGGGATTTATGGTGTTCCATGGTGTTTCTATGATATTTCTATGGAATTACTATGGGCGTCCTGAGGGAATTGTATGGGATTCTTATGGGATTTCTTTGTGGTTCCTATGCTATTTCCATGTGGGATTTCTATGATCTTTCTATGGGATTTCTGTGGGATGTCAATCGAAAGTAAGTTGAAACCAATTGAACATGAATTCAAACTAAGTCGGAATCAACTGAAAGTAAGGTGAAATCAATAAAACACCAGTTGAACTTGAATTGAAATCAATTGAAAATCAATTGAACAGTACTTGTTGGAAATGAAATTAAATCTATTGAAAGTAAATTGAAATCAATTGAAAATCAATTGAAACCAATTGAACGTAAATTGAAACCAATTGAAAACCAATTGACATCAGTTGAAAGTAAATTGAAACCTATCAAAATCAATTCAAAAATTTTTATTCAGACCCCGTTACTTCAAAAACACGCATTAAAGAGAGTGTCAGAATTGTTTTGGGGGGGCCTACACTAATCAGGATCCACCATCATACAATACACCGTTTTTTTTCGTATGATGTAATGATGTACCACTATGCAATGTGTATATATGCTTAAACGTTATATAGTATATGATATATATGCAATATGTGAATTATACATATCCACATAGAAAAATATAGTACCATTAAAATCACAAATAAGAATATTCAGAATATCAAATATCAAGTAGTGCCCGGCACGGGCCGGGGCGGAAATTTCGAAAATAAGACATGACTATAGGAAACACTTTGCTTGTAGGACTCGGTGAGTTGGAAAGACACGAAGGAGTTGAACATGAATGATTTGAAATTACATGGTATGAAATAAAAGGAGGAGCTACAATGAATGAATGGGTGAATGCAACCAAATGGAATGACACGAAAGGAAACGCGAAATGAATGAATGAATGAAGGAAGGAAGGAAGGAAGGAATGAAGGAATGAAGGAACGAACGAAGGAACGAACGAAGGAACGAACGAAGGAATGAATGAATGAATGAAAGAAAGAATGAACGAATGAATGAACGAATGAATGAATGAATGAACGAACGAATGAATGAATGAATGAATGAGTGAATGAGTGCGTGAGTACATTGCATACATTACATACATTACATACATTACATGCATTACATACATTGCATGCATTACATACATTGCATGCATTACATACATTGCATACATGGCATACATTGCATACATTAAATACATTACATGCATTACATGCATTACATCCACTACTTAAATTACATACATTACATACATTACATACATTACATACATTACATACATTACATACATTACATACATTACATACATTACATACATTACGAATGGGATCATTCGAGGTGGGTGCTAGCAGTACGCCGTCCTAATTCCGAGACTCCAATTTTGCACCATAGCCACGTGACACGAAAGACTTTGCACGACTGCTACAGGCAGCTCTAGGGCTGGTGATCAGCTCAAATGGCCGAAGCATCAAGCAGATGAGGGCCACTTCTGGGATCATATGTGTGGATCTGGACTCACAAGGAAGGTGGTTGGCGCATTGGAGAAGGCAGAAAACTTGGATCCAGTCTTTAAGATATGTTAAGATACAGTCATGTCTCAACCAATTGACATGATTTGTGGCTGACTTCCCGATTCAGTTCCATGCAAGTATCATGTTCGGGGGGTATCGGTATTGAGTCTTTCTTTAATGCTGTTTATTAATTCCTGGATGTCTGTACAGGAAACGCTACTGCTGTTTAGGCCGGACACGCGGTATAAACAGTACATACAGTACATAGAGTACATGCATTACATACATTACATACATTACATGCATTACAACCATTAACTACATTACATACACTACATACATTACATGCATTACATACAGTGCATACATTGCATACATTCCAAGCATTCAATATACTCCATACATTACAAACATTACACACATTACATACATTGAATACATTACATACATTACATACATCCCCTACATACATTGCAGACATTGCATGCATTACATACATTACATACATTACATACATTACATACATTACATACATTGCATGCATTACATACATTGCATACATTGCATACATTGCATACATTGCATACATTACATACATTACATACATTAAATACAATACATGCATTACATACAGTGCATACATTGCATACATTCCATACATTACATACAATCCATGCATTACATAAATTACATACATTACATACATTACATACAATACATACATTCCATACTTTTCATACATTGCATACTTTGCATACATTACATGCATGACACACATTAGATACATTACATACATTACATACATTACATTACATTACATTACATTACATTACATTACATTACATTACATTGATTGCATTACATTACATTAAATTACATTACAGTACATTACATTACATTACATTTAATTACATTACATTACTTTACTTTTTTCTAGCGAGCAAAAGGGCTCCCGGCACACATATTTACAAGCTCCGCATGAAGCAAAATGCTTCTTAAAATGGAATACGAACAGTGGAAAGCACCGTACATCCCGACGAAGAGATACCACACGGATTACCTTGAGAGGCCGTAGCCTTGGCAAGTCTTAAGTGATCAGAACTTTCTGCGAAGTGCTTCTGCTTTGACTTGCCGTAAGTATTCAGTGTCGTTCGGATTGAAAGGGCGCCCTGTCCATTAATGAGCATAAAAGCATGTTTATAAGATTCCCAGGCCCAGTCTGCTTTTGGTCTTCCGGGCCTACGAATGTAAACTAACCGAGGGTGAAGAGCATCAGAGGCGAAAGTGACTTGCAAAAGCGGGTCCGCTTTACTACTACGAAGAATGTGACCAAAGAGTTTGAGTTTTGCTTTCCGCCATGTATCACCAAAATGTTCGAAATTGCAACCGTAGTGTTCTTGAATTTCACGGTACATTCGCTCATTAGTCTCTGATCTGCCTATAAAAGGAGGAGGTTTACCTCAAATTCTGCGTAAAGGAATCAATTTAAACGAGAGATTTCGGCATTAGTCAACTGCATGCATTCCAATCCATAAAGTAACTTCGAACGAATGATTGCATTGAAGACGTGGATTTTCCATCGAATTGAAGTGTTGGCCTTCTTCCAGAATGATTTCATCCTATTCGCTGTCGCAGTGCAGTCTCCCAATCTGTTCAGAAGTTCTGCCTTATTACTGAATGAATCGCTTAAAATTGTGCCTAGCAGTAATGTTAATGCACATTATATTGCATACATTACATATATTGTTTAAGGTGTATATATATATATGTACATTTGTCTTATATATATAATAAAAATAATATCATATGATATAATGCAATACTATTTTTCAAACAATCACAATATGATAATATGTGATGCGATACAATATGATATGGAAAACATATCACTTAAAAAAAAAATATCAGATAATATGAAATAATATGATATAACTTTTACTATATATTTTCATATAGTAGTAATTATAGTCATATATTCGTAGTATCATATATTCGTTTCAACCCTTCAAAGTTTGACCGATCCCTTTCAGACTTCTCCGTTTCACCATCGGCCCGCCCCGTTTCCGTCACTGCCTGCAGTCCTCCGATGTCATCTCGAGAGCAGTGGGCTGTCGACCCTCATCCGAGTTCACCACCAGAAGACCATTCAGATAGGAATTATGACCCGAGTAGTGCGCGAAGATCTGAACATTCACCTAAGCATTGTTCAGACTCCCTCTGTCATTCTTTGCTGGTTAAGAATGGGATTCCCTTATTATCTCATTGGAATATTCTAATCCCCAATATATTGGGTAGTATAATTCCCTATTAGCCTGTAATCATCAACCAACAGGGTTTTGAACACTGCTCACCTGAGAAACCGATGGAAGTTGAGTGGAAAACATGATAAAAAATGGTCAGCGGAGTCTGTGCATCCCATGCTAATAAATCCCGAAATGGCAATATCATTCCCATCATTTAACCGAACATGCCTCTCAGATACAGTGAGCACAATTTATCTTTTGACTGGCTGGGTCTTCTATTCTCGCACCTTCTCCAAATATACGGATCCTGCCAGGTACTTGTCTAAAATGTGGCAATTTTCAGGGTCTCATTGCAATCAAAAGGGCAAACGCATGCCCAACATTGCCCAACTGAGGTTTACCTAAGGAAAAAAAAACATAACCCCAAGCACATCCAGGTTGCTGGAACTTTTTTGGACGCTTCTGCGTTCAAACCCGATAAATGCCAAAATGAAAAGCTGCCTTCAGGAAAGCACTGAAGCAGTGCTATTCAATCCACACTGATGATGAATCATAATTAGTCATAATTAATGATGCTCATCAAACAGTAGTAACTACTGTAGATTGATGTGGACCTCTTTGGAGCTGCTGCTTCTAACAACACTTTCGAAGTTCCCCTACCTGTAGCTGCACTTGGTACGAAAGCATGCGCACGACACCACGCAATATTTCTGAGATAACTCTGTTGCCCGAAGCATCCACTTCCAACCCTTTCTGTTTGAGACCCTAGCAGTCACAAATGGATTGATTTTGTTGCTTCAACGTACCCGCTTTTTGATGCTGAAAAACCATCCCAGCTCTACGGGCCCTCATGTCACTCCATCTGGAACCTCCTGACACGTTGCTAAACATAACTTCAAGCAATCAAACTTGGGGAGTAACAATTTCTTGCGTTGTCCATTTATGTATGTATATGTATTATTTACATATGTACACAACATCCCAGCTAGCCGTGGTTGATGGCAGGAGTGCACAAGGTTGCATCCCTCGAGTGGTTTACAATCAAACCCTAGCCATAGTAGCTGCAACCACGGTTAGATCGGAATATTTGGATGGGTTTTCCCTGGTGCCCAGAAAGCTGCACCCTTTTGATCCTTCTTGACCCATCCGAAGGTCAGTCCTTGGGGCCAAACGGGGATGGTAAAAATCCGTCTATACCCGCTACTATAAGCATTAAAAAAAAAACGATTTCCTTAGACAAACCCAATGCTTGGGTCAGATCCACAATACATTCCCACTGGGCCGCACCTTGATTTTGCACAAGATAATGTTCTGCATGGAATGTGTGAATGTGAGGACCCTGACAGGCCGATGGTGCGTCAAGTCACATTGTCCCAAGGCAAAGCTTCTTGGTGATACGACCGAACATCACAACAACCGTCCACGGTTTTCTGCTTTCCAGAATCCCAAAGCAACACATTTAAATGTATGTGTACATATGTACGTGTGTAGGTATATATTATAGATGTATTTAAATGTACGTGTGTATGTAAATATTATATATGTATATAATATGTATGTGTGTATAGATATACATATGTATAACATATGTATGTGTATATGAAAAAATACATGTGTGTATGTGTGTGTGTGTGTATGCATGCATGTATGTATGTATGTATGCATGCATGCATGCATGTGTGTGTATGTATGTATGTATGTATGTATGTGTCAAAAATATTATACATATATATGTACATTGTATATGTATGTTGTACATGTATACTAAATATGTGTATTAGATAGACATATTATTATATATTAGTAAATATTAGTATATATTAGTATATATTAGTATATATTAGTAAATAATAGTATATAATAGTATATATTAGTATATATTAGTATATATTTGTATATATATGCATTTATCTGTATATATTAGTATATGTGTGTATATGTTAGTATATATGAGTGTATATATATATATTAGTATATACATGTACACATATTAGCAAATATAAATACATATATAATAGTATCTATATAATAGTAAATATATATACAAAAATATTAGTATATATATATACAAAAATATTAGTATGCGTATATATATATATATATGTATATTTATATTAAAATATATAGTTTTTAGTAAATATATTTGTTAGTATATATATATATATACATTAGTAAATATTTATATGTAAAAAAATATAATTAGTATATATATAGTATATAATTATAAATTAGTATATATATATATACTAACATGTATATATATATATTAGTATATATATATATATTAGTGTATATATATATTAGTATATATATATATTAGTATATAAATATAAATAAGTATAAGTATATATATATACTGGTATATATATATATTAGTATATATATACTGGTATATATAGATTATATTTATTAGTTGTTGAATTGGGAACAGTGTTCATGAGTCTCCATTGCACCTTCCATTTTGTGCACCGACGGCCTTTGCGCGTCGGATCAAAGCGCCGCAGTGGTGGGAGGGTGAGGCATTCAAGAGCCAAACAAGGTGCAGCAGACAGGGTCGCTGGTTTGGGGAAACAAGGTTTTTCATTAATATTGAAGGGCACATTCGCATTGGTAGCGGAGCCCAAGGGCTGCCGCAACTGCCATTTGGGTTGTTTTCATAGGACAGGGTCCTAGGCATTTTTTTTTACACAGCTGGCAACGCTAGCACCAGTGACGACGCCATGTCTGGCGATGGAGTTGCGGAAGCAGCGGGATCCAGTGGAGGACTTCCATCATCGTCCCTTCCTTGGCACCAGATTCCGAAGTTTGAGCCGGGCATCACAGATGTCCGAACCTACGCTCGGAAACTCGAGTTTCTGAGAGATCTATGGCCTGCCGAGCACATAGAGCACTTGGCGCCGAGAGCAGCGTTGTTGGTGGAAGGAGTTGCCTTTCAGAAGGTTGCCCGACTCCAGGCCTCAAAGTTGAAGACCCGTGAAGGGGTTCAATACCTTGTTGAATCTCTGGGGGGGCAATGGGGCCGTGGGTCATGCCCTGTCAATCTCAAGGTTCAGAAAAAGACCCACTTCCGAGGAAAAGCTCCAAACAATGCTCCGAGCCAGGTATGACCTCTTTGAGAAAGCCTTATACACCAGTGTGCAACGACCGGATGCAACCAATGACAGCTACCTCAATCGACATGACATATCCTTTGAGGAGCTCATCACAAAGGACGTCAAGCTTGAGGAGATCCGGGCCTATGTCATGATCCGACAATCTGCCCTATCACCAGAGGATCGAAAGAGGATCATCATGGACTGCCAGGGCAAGCTGGTATACCGTGATGCTCGCAAGAGTATCACGCTCTTTGGATCGAAGTTCTACCAAGACCTACAGGGCAGTGGAAAGTCATCGAGTCGCACAAAGACCTTTGACGTCAACTACACCGAGGAACCTGATGACATGGCATCCTTCGTGGCTCAGGACATGGAGGTGGATGAGGACATCCTGCTTCAAAACCTGGTTGACGAAGGAGATGGAGATGCTCACTTCATCCAGGACTTCGAGGAGCAAATTCTCCTGACGTGCCAGGACTCACCAGAACTGTCTCGTGACATACCAAGAGGCAAGGGAGAGACTGAAGGAGAAAGCCCGTGGTCGAGGTTTTTGGCCTCTTCGTCATGGAGGAGGTGCAAAAGGAAAAGGAAAATATGGTGGAAAGAAATCAAAAGGGGGGCCCAATGTGATGATGAAAAGAAGAAGTCTGGCAGAGAGGATCGCAAACTCCACATGTCGAAAGTGTGGACAACCAGGGCAGTGGCGCAGGGAATGCCCATTGAACAACAGCGCCGACAAAGACAAGAGCGCGTTCACTGGCTTGTCCATGGAAGAGCCGGAGAAGATTGAAGAGACCTATGTGGATGTGATGAACCATCTGCCAGAGGATGCGGAGATCTAAGAGCAGAACGGGGAACCAGGACGTCATGGGGTTCAACGCATGTACAAAGTTGTTGATCAAATCTTTAAGAAGATTCGTCAAGGTCTCAATGTTTTGAAGAGTCGAGTAGAACACGCATGCGCCACGTCACAACAGGAATCATATGCATGTTTCATGGCAAGTGAACACGCATCTTCCCATGATGTACATCACTTGAGACCATCCAAATTTTCAATCTGCCTTGCAACCCGTTTGAGCGAATGCTGTAGGAAGCATTTCAACTTGCACCGTGATGCTCCTGCAGCGCCAGCCACAACAGCCGTGACAGCCAAGACCGTGGGCACCGGTGCTGTCTCTCAAGCGGAAGACAGTTTTTCCGTAGCTGCCTGTCTTTTTAACAACGAGGAAGCAGCAGGGGAGCCATAATTGACACCGGGGCCAGTAGGGCAGTTATTGGTGAAGACAGGGTCCCTGGCCTAATTAAGTCATTTCCCAAGGATTTGAGGGATTTTGTTTACAGAGCTCGTACCCCTGGTGACTTTCAAGTTTGGAAATTCTTCTAAGCTGACTAGCAGATTTACCATCCTGCTTCCTCGACGTCAAAATGGCTGGCTGAGAGATTGGAGGTAGTGCCAAGGCAGACACCTTTCTTGATATCAAATTCTATCCTTAAGGGATTGAAACGGATCATTGATGTTGATGAAAGGGTACTGCAATCTCAGGGTCACGAGGCTAAAATCCAACTACATCCATGTGGGAAGAACCTTTTGGGAGTCAATGTTGCAGAGTTGTTGACAAAATCACCACCCACAACACCAGAACATGGGCCAGAGACCGACACGATCACGCAGGTTGAAAACGTAAAGGTAGAGGATCCCAAAACATGTCAAGTCATGAACACGACGGGTCAAGAAGTGTTACGACATGTTCTGTGCCATGCCAAAAATCCCAATCACCATATTTTGGTTAATGAACAAATTCCGGAGGAAACTGAGTATCAAACAAGGGTCATGAAACGGGGGTTCCAAGTGAGAATCTTCAACAAAATCGGAGAGACCATTTCAGTGATCAAGATCGTACAGCCAATTCGAACGTTCTAGCTCATCATGTCAGACAGCCATGGCCCGAAGTATCAGGAACAGGAGCTTCGAGTTCCCGACGACCCATCGCTCACCTTTCAGGTGGCACGGAGCGAACAGACCGATATCGTGAAGCCACCGGGGATCAGCAATCTACAGGAGTTGGGACAACTCAAGGCCCCAGCGGGAAAGCATCCGAGCAAGACCTTTGCCCAGATCTATGCGGAGGACCCCAACTACGTTTTCAGATGAAGAACCGGAAAGGTGTGTCAGCGTGGGTGAAAAGTTTCCAGATGTACAGCCTGGCACGGATCGAAGCAGCTCATCAGGAGACAATCAAGGGCAGTCAGATGCCACTGCCACCGCAAAGAGCATCGAAGATGACATCTCCGATGCAAAGTTCACAGAGCGAGTGGATCACCGTCGGCGACATGGAGCCGAAGCCCAAGTCCCAAGGACCCATGAAGAGCGAGAACAAGCGACCAATCGAAGTGACCAAGACATGCATGATGGTGGAACACGAGTCCCAGAAGGTGCAGGAGCTACAGACCAAGATTGCGCTCTTGCAGCGAGAGCCGAATCAGCACGTGTACAGCGAAGATCAGGCTCAGGGATCAAAAGATCCATCCGAACCGGCGTAGATGAGTTAGCCAAAGAAGTCACATACATCATGGATGACCAACCTTTGAAATGTCTAAGTCCTGCAGAAGATTAACCAATTCATCATGCTATTTCTGAACGGTCGAAAATGATCGATGAAGAGTTGACAAAAATGTCAAAAGATGTGTTGTTTACCCAGGAAAAGACAGGATTCCAAAAGAGAGAACAAGGTGGCCGACATGTCCATGACTATACAGTAGACCTCTTTGAAGTTTACTGTGACCCTCAGTCTCAACTTGTCCATCAGGTAAATTCCCGATATGGAAAGGCCATTCGTTTTACGAGAGATGATGGGGATTTGGGGACAGAAGAAAAGGTACACAAGTTGGGGGAAATTTTCCTGGTTTAACATGGGCAGGAGTACTCAAATGTTTGACAAAATCCATCAACTAAGAGAAAAGGACCGTCACCATCTTAAACTATGCAATGACATGTGCTTTGCATCAGGTGGGACAGAACCGGCATTTTCACTTGGAACAACCTTTTGGTTTGAAATGATGGCCCAACAGGAATTGATGGACACAAAGTTGGGTACCCTGCCAGCAACTTTTGACATGTGCCATGTCGGTGGACTTCAATTACCTCAACATGATAGTTTCCTTCAGAAACGGACCGAGGTTTTCACCACCAGCAGGCACTTGTTTGAGCTACTCAACTATGAATTTTGTAAGAAAAATCATGTTC